TAAGTGGGCGAGGCGGAGCCGCGCTCAGGCAAGCGGCACGTGGGGGCCAGGCCGCCCTATGGCGCAGCGGGGAGCGCGTGTAGCCATATGAGATGAGGCGGGGGGGGGGGGGAGGAGGAGGAGGAGGAAGCCGGTAGGGGAAGGGCCCGGACAAAAGCGGTGCGGAGCCCCAACAGAAGGCAGAGGCGTCCCGTGTGCTCGCGCGTTGCAGCAAGGTGAGTGGGGGGAGGCTTGGCTTGCAATATTTCCTACACTGGCACCCTTCTCCGTTCCTCCCCGGGAGACAGGAAAAAAAGGAGAAGCTCCCTTTGGGCTGTCCATACTCTTAGGACATCAGTATTCCAAAAATGAGCAAGGGTTTTTTTTTTTTTTGGGGGGGGGGTGGGGGGTGGTGTTGTTTGTTTTCTTGGATTGGTGGGAGATGGCAGGCTCCTCGGGGGCAGAGACCGCTCCGTTTTTAACCTGTGCTGAGCCCCAAAGGGGCCTGGTGGAGGGCGCTAAGCTCCTGGGTCCGTCGGGACCGCAGTGTGAAATACAAGAATGGGGTGTCAGAGGGAAGGGGGGGGGGGGGCCTTTTCTCCCAGACTTTGTAGGCTCCAAAGATGAGAAAGGGGCTTGGGGGAGAGGAAGCTGAGAATAACCCATAGGTTGTGCTGTGCATATTGTGTGTGTGAGTAAAGGAGGGGGGGGGAGGGAGGGCGGGGGGGGGGGGGCCTTTTCTCCCAGACTTTGTAGGCTCCAAAGATGAGAAAGGGGCTTGGGGGAGAGGAAGCTGAGAATAACCCATAGGTTGTGCTGTGCATATTGTGTGTGTGAGTGAGAGATGTACTTTTAAAAAGTTCTTTTGGGTAGAGAATATTTGCCTCTCTTATTCATAAGTGCTGGGAATAAGGATCATCCAGTTCTTTTGGGTAGAGAGAATATTTGCCTCCCTCGTTCATAAATGCTGGGAATAAGGATCATCCAGTTGTTTTGCGCAGAGAGAATATTTGCCTCCCTTATTCATAAGTGCCGGGAATAAGGATCATCCAGTTCTTTTGGGTAGAGAGAATATTTGCCTCCCTTATTCATAAGTTCTGGAAATAAGGATCATCCAGTTGTTTTGCGTAGAGAGAATATTTGTCTCCCTCGTTCCTGAATGCTGGAAATAAGGATCATCCAGTGAAGACTGGTTGGTGGTAGGTTCAGAGTGGAGGAAAAGTAATCTCTGAGCACCTGATGGACTTGTCGGATTCTTGGACGCAAGAGGATGACTAGAGCTTTAGCTTGCTTTTTACAGTCAGGGAGGATGGATTACTCAATGGTGAGATCCAAGCGATAGTTTCCCTGTTTGGAGACAGCCTACCTCAGGGTGTTGTATGCCGGGATAGAGGCAGGGTTGTTGCCTTCATGACCTGATTGTGAGTTTTGTGGAGGTTCTTGGCTAACCGCTGTTGGGAGAAAGGATGCTGGGACTAGATCTTTTGGCTTGATGGAAGGCAGGTCTCAGTGGGGCTTGGTCCTGTTCTGTTGCAGCTTGCCCCCTGGATTGAAAAGAGGGCTTGTGGGGTGATGCGATGGAGCGGATCCTTCTCTGCTCTTTTCCTTCCTTGATGCAGGCCTGTTGTGGTGGCTGTTAACTTTCTCCGGCCTCTTGGTGGGGCGTGCTGACATTAGCGTGATATTGAAAGCGTGTCATGGGAGGGAAGCTGCTTCAAGAATAAAAAGCTCGATGTATGAGCCGTGAAGTTCAGAATGTAATTTTCCATCTCCAGTATTTTGCTAACATAAGAAGGGGCCTTATGCCCCATAGTGGTGGCGGCGCTCTAAAGGTGTCCTGAACTCGGTGAGATATTTTTAATGGAAGATGCTGAGTATTGACCTTGGGGGTCTCACATGTGCAAAGTGTGTGCTTTTCATCTGAGTTGTACATGCCACAAAAATCTGTGGTTTTTTCTTCCAGATGCTAACCTTTCCCTTAATTTCTCTGCTTGAACTGTACTGGATAACTTGTTTAAATCTGTAAGGAGGCAAAAAGGCTGTGAGTCAGGAAGTTTGGAAGGCCTGGCTGGAAGACTTAAGCAGTCCACATGCCAGAGAGTTAAGTTCTTAAGAAAGGGGCTCCATGGACTCTTCCGGCAAAATGTTAGATGCCTCTGTTGCAGAGCCTGAAATTATACCACCATGTGCCTAGTGAATCCGTGTCTCAGACATACTCCACAAAGTTAGCTGTATGTAGGGCAAGGAATAAAAACATTGCTGGAATTTTCCTTCCGTCTGAGTCGGTCATAACTTCGATTTCCCACTGTCACATGTCGATAGGCAAATCTAAAAAAAAAGATGAATTAGAAATCTGAACAGAAAAGAGAACCGCTACTCTGCCAAACAGAAATGCAGCTACATTAAAAAAAAAAAACACACAAGCAAGCCCTAAGACAGATGTCGCGTGCACAGAGGAAACTGAACTGCATAGAGAAGGAATGTTGACATTCTGGTGCTGAGGGATATTCCAGAGCATACAGGCAAGTTCTTGGGGGAGGGGAGACTGGCTGATTTCTCATCTCTTTATCTGTCCAAGCGATCAGCTCCCGGGGCAGGAGGACCCCATAAGGCCATCAAGATGAGTGCTGCATCACCCCCCAAAACACAAATCAACCCTCAGGCTTCATTCTCAGTATGCGGTTTTGGCATTGCATTGGCAGTGTTTTACGGTGTGATCCTGTGTTAAGTTACTCCAGCTGAAGTCCACTGAAGTCAGTACCCTTAAACCAGAGTAACTCCCCCCCAAAGATTGTCTTGTTAAACACTCTGGTTCTTGGACTGCAGCCATTGCTAGAATTATAGCCATTTTAAAGGCTTCAGTGATGCTAAAGGTTTTTTTTTTCTCCCACGCTTTTGCTTTAAAGAACTGCACAGTGTGATCGAAAACATTGCAGCTGACATCAGATAAAGAGAAGGTGTAAAGCACAGCATAAAAACCCAAAGGATTCTTGCTTTTCTCTCCTTACTGGAATTCTGTTCTGATGAGTTCCTTCTTGCGCTCTCCCCCTCCCCCTTTTCATTTCATCTATTTAATTTATATCCCGCCCTCCCCGGTACGTGGGCTCAGGGTGGGTTACAGCAACAATAAAACAGTTCAAAACAATTACAATTTAGTACAGTTAAAACCCCAATAACATAATTAATAAAATGACAGAAACTCCTGGATAATCCCTGTATGGGTGTGGTCAGATGGCGTGTTGGGAGCGATTTAAATTGCTCCCGTCCCAGTGTGTGTTTTTTTAACCTGGAGAATTGCGATCACACTCACCGTCTTGTTACGGATCACTGCGCAGCCACATCGCTCCCCGCCGTCCACATGCAGGAGCATGCGTTGGTGGTTTTTCTTTCTCTGAGTTTGGGCCATCTGTACAATTAAAATTTTTGCACTTGTGCAGAACAGCGATTTCCACTTCAACCCAACTGCTGTAACACTTCCCTTTAAACTTTAAAGGAGCACTTCCCCTTTAAACTTTTACCCCGAAACTGCAACAAAACTAGGCATAACGCAGATGCGGCGCTCCACCTGTGCGCATACCGCTGACGCTAAAATAAAATGGCGGGCAAAGAGCAGAAGCCTCGGGTTTCCGAATGGAAGTGGCTTGACACTGCAGGAGTGATCAGACATCCGAAAAGTGCCGCTAGAACCGGAGAATCAGGAAAACACCAGTTGGGGACCTGGTAACAAAATACTCCGTTTTAAAGGGGGTTTGAGCCGGAAAGCAACGGCTGGGGATGGTGCGCAGATGTTGGATGTGTGAACGTGGATATAAAACCAGTTACTGAAGCATGCCGAAAGTGGACTAAGCGGCCCATCTGAACGCACCCTGTGTGTGTGTGTGTCCAAGATGGATCAAAGTGTTGGGCAAGTGGGTGTCAGTCACCACTGATGGTATGTTGACATAATGCAAAAAGAAAGGAGGAGTTGGAGCAGGGTGGCCGATGAAATCGGACACTCACTGCCTCCACCAAGGACGTTGTCACTGTACAAATAAAACTGCAAATGCCTTTCTGCAGTTCAGTAGTTTAATTTTGACTTTTTGTTTCAAATAAGCGTTTAGGGCACTGTTCAGTTCCATTCAAACAATTGATCCTTCCCTCTCCCCCCCCCCCCACCGGTCTTCAGCTGAAGGCGGTTTGACCTAACAG